ATCCGCAGTCATATTATAAAGTAAATCATGAATATGCTCGACCTGTCCCGCTTTTGGCGACATGTTCCACCTCTTGCATCGAGGCTAGAAGTCGCGGTACTGATCGCTCTCCTCCACGACTGAAATCTCGGGAAGTACTCGTATATCAAGCACTGCAATATTTTATTTTAGAATATTTAATTGAATAAACAATAGAATACATTAATTTAAACACATTATGAAAAAGAAATAATTAAATAAAACATATAATTCACATGAAGAAGGCTGGTGCAACCCGCCAAGCTCATAGACCGTGCTCGACTGCATATACTGATACGAACCCCGTAGAACTCGTTACAGGACCCAAATACCATACGCGGAAGCAAGATCGAAGACATCCAAAAACAAATGATTCAGATTGGCGGAAGCAAGGAATAATGAACCCATAGCTATAAAGAGCTAGAAACCATTATTATCAAGGTGAATTATAATATAGACTCCGTGGTTATAAAGAACCAGAAACCAATATTATTGCGATAAGAAAGTTACAAGAATCCACTTTTATTGCAAGAAAGTTACAAGAAAGTTACCAGAAACCAATATTATTGCAATAATGACCAATATTATTGCGATAAGAAACCAAATACTCAAAATATTATTAAAATCGGTCCATTAAAATAAGCTAAATTGACAACATATTTATAAATGCTAAAAAGACTCCTTTTTTCACAAGGAAAAATGACTCCTACCTAATCTATAATAACGAAACTTATACATAAGAAAATCCTAACCATAAAAGACTCTTACATAATAAAAATATAATAAATCCTAAATAAAAAACGTGTATAGTTAAATTAAGTAACTTGATCTTCAAGTCGGCTTCTCGATTATCCTTCTAATCTCGCGTAGACAATTGGTTGTGCACGTGCATGAACTTCATGCTCAATTACGACACTGTTACACTTCGAATCTCTCTCCGCTCAAAACATGAAAGTTGTATAACTTCCAGTTTGCTTTCCATAAAAATTTGAATCACTTAAATTGGACGTAATATGAGAGAGTTATAAATCGAATGGTAAACCTGCCAGAAATAGGCGAGAATCTCGGATGCATGGAATTTGGCTAGTCCGATGAATTTCCTTTTTCTTTTCTTCCAATTCCAAACTATAAACTCTTCAACAGTCTCACTCAAACCTCTATTCTCCAAGGATAACTCGGATATCCTCTCCAAACTCGTAAGCTTGCGCTTCTTCTAATTCTTCATCTTTGAGCTTTTGTGGATCGTATCATATACCCAGCTCCCTGTGTAGATTGGCCAGACAGGCCGAACCCCACGAATACGTGCCGACCTGATCAAGTGCAGTATCTTCGAGCATGTGCATATACCACGGCTTAATCCGATCGCACGTCTTGTCGGGGAATAAAACCGACCGAGAAGAAACACTAGAAATATCTGAACTCAACGTCTCATGGGCGTGTCGGACATCAACAATTGTGCATGTATCATCCTCCATGTGGGGCCCCCATGCTTCCATGCATCGCTGATCTCATCAAGATCGAGGTTCATAATCTCGGACAATGAATACACGCAGTTTGTCCGCTCGGTGTCCTCGTTGTACCTAGACGGACCACTCGTCACTCCACATTAGCATCTAGTATCATCTGGACATTGTAGAGAGTGATAGTCATCTCTCACCACGGCATATGAAGGTTGTTCTTTTCCGACTGCCACCGCTCCACAAATGCAAACAACAACGAACCATTTATGTGACGTATGAAAGAGCGGGCTATGGGGTACAAATTGGTCATCCGCAGAAAATGTTTGTCTGCAGTGACATCTATGCCTAACGGGGTAAGGGCATCATGGTATCGTAGTTGAAATGGGTTAGGGAGCTCATACAGGACTCCACTCGTCCGTCCGAACATTCGTGCAATCATTTATTTAGAACACATATTAGTTAATGAACTATAAAAATATTTCCATATAAGATATAACAATTAAAATATTAAAATCAAAACAAGTCATTAAAATTACTTCTCCCCTCCAAATGCATGCCGCTATGTGCGACTTGATACTCGGAATCAAAGCCAAATCCCGCGGACCATACGAAAATGGACCATCTAGTACAAACAGATTGACACGACTACGACTTCGACCACCACGACCTTCACGAGCTACAACCTCGGTCTCGTTAACGGGGTCCACCGTCTCCTCCTCCTCCATAGCATGGGAAGGTCCAACATCGGCATGTGCAGCCGATGGCCCAACTACACCAACTCTCTCAGCCTCTCTCCTACGTCGTGTAGACATAGTCACCTGCTCCCGCTCCCACCCGTTCGCGCTCTTGATGCTCGACCTCATCACGAACTTCTCGCACTAGTGTCTTTGACTTGCCTTTGCGTGCCATCTGTCAAATAAAAAATTAAACAAGTTAATTTAATGTATATATAATAATAATAATAAGTAAAACTCAAAAAAAAGACAAAAAAATGCTCTGTTTCGTGGAGAAAACCACGAAACGTAAGCAAATATTCCGTGGTTTTTTTCCACGAAAAGTAAAAGAAACTGCAGAAATACAAACATTTCGGGTATTGTACAAAAAAAAAATCGTAAGAAAACTTACGAGACTTAAGTTTTAATTCGTCGTTTAATACACGAAACGTGGAGGAAACAAAAAAATAACCAAAGTTTCGTGAAAAAAATCACGAAACTCATTGCTCAATTTCGCGATTTTTTTCACGAGACACATAATTTTTTTCGATTTCCTCTGAATCGATGAATACGCACTGATAATTGATGCAGTTTGTTAATAGACAATTATAAAACATTGAATTAACGAAATAGGGTTCTAGTTTTACCTCAAATCGTTGTCGAATTGCTCTTTTATTTCACGGGATTTCGAAGAATGTTGGAGAGAGTTTGAAAGGATTTTGAATTTGTTTTGAAAAAAATTTCAAATAAAATAAAAGTGCACTGCAAGGTGGTAAAAATTGCACTATGAATAACATTTGAGAAATTGGGAGCAAGTGCACTCAAAACATTGGGTTTGCCTTCATGCGTGAAAGTCAAACCCATCACGATCTCTTCAAAACGTCCGTGTTGCGTCCTTTTAGTCCTCATAATTCCTCTCTTCAGCTTCTTCCTCTTTGAATTCTCGATCGATACTACCAGGTTTTTTTTTTTTTTTTTTTATTATTATTATTATTATTATTATTATTATTATTATTATTATTATTTTCCAAATCTACGTGTAACTGATTCAGGATTTCATTCCAAGTAATTTGAATGAGTTAAATTCAGCTGATTAGTTAATTTTGGGAATAAGAGGTTCGATTCTTAGAATGTACAGTAGCAGTGTTGAAGCTGGAATTTTCACCCTACATTTATCAATAATGGGATTATAATCAGTTATTGCGTTTAATAAATATTCAATTTTTTTTTTTTTATTTTTTTTTTGTTACTATATTACCCTGAAAGAAAGATTAAGTTAATAAATTGTGGTGTTTTTCGGATATATTTCAAGATGGCAAGGAAGAGACTGGCGAAAGAGTTCATAGACTTGCAGCGCGGCCAACCCGCAGGTATTAGTGTGACGCCACAACCCGAAAATATTATGCTGTGGAATGCAGTAATATCCGGGCAAGTTCTCGATTTATATCGCGCCAATTAATCGATAATATTATTAGTCTATAGTTGCATTTTATATGTTTATTGTTTGCATTATTTGAATATGCTAATTTTCGATGGTTACTGTTCTCGTGTGGATTGCAGTCCTGAAGATTCAATATGGGATGGAGGTCAGTTGTTATTGTGGCTTTTACATATACTGAATTCACCGTAGTGAATTCGCCTCTACTATTAGAGTCGATGTCTAGTGTTCGAATTAGGCTTAATCCCACTTTGCACCCTTGAAATATACCATTTTGGTACTTTGCATCATCGAAACAAATTAATAGCACTTTGCACCCTCGAAACTCAATATATCATGCATAATGCACCCCACATGAGTTTTTAAAGTTAATAAAGGTAATTTCATATTTTTAGCGGTATTTTTAAAAATTATATTTTTATCACGAAAAAAAGAATTATACGAAAAAAAATTCTTGAGCTATTTTGTGTGAAGAAAATATCAAGTTAATTTGTTATTTTGCAACCCGGAAAAAAAACCAATAAAAAATGAATTATCCTTTATTATTCCTTAACAATTAAGGGTGCACTGTGATTTATTATTGATTTATTGTGTTTTGAGAGTGCAGAGTGCTATTATTATTTTTCAAGGGTGAAAGTGTCAGTCGTTCGAATCATGTCCCTCTCGTATTTTCCTAATTTATAATACAGTTTGAATTCAATGCCTATACTTCGATTGTGACAGGTTCGTTCAAATTGACCCTGGAGTTCACAGAACGATATCCGTTCTCTGCTCCAACAGTTCGCTTTGTTTCTCAAATGTTCCACCCAAATAGTAAGATATTGCATAAGAAACTCAATTTTTTTTTAATATATATTAAATTGATTAATTACGTACTCTGAGCTTAGACGTTGAAATTTGACCGTTTGATCAGTTTATGCGGATGGAAGTTTATGCTTAAACATCCTTGATGATCAGTGGAGTACCGCGTATCGAATTGAATCTATACTTGTATCTATCCAGGTATATACCCTGCCTGCTAATTGACAATTGGTGCATTAACCATGTAATGATATTGATTAAGGGCATTGTTAAAAATCTTATGAACCTAAATGATTGAAGAGGGTGTTTGGCTGAGCTTATAAGCTCTTCAAAACATCATATAACATGTTTAATAGCTTATAAGCTATTAAAAAAATATTGTAAAATTTTCTAAAACGATCTAAATTTTTAAAAATAAAATAAACTGTTGGGGAGCTTATTCAGTCGTATTTAAAAAAGTAATTACCTTTTTCGTTTAACATTTTATTTGTTCCATTATTTAAAAAAAAATAAAGTACGATATGTTTTATGGAATATTATTTTTATCAAGTCCCTAACCTTTTTTTTTCATTTTTTTGTTGGGTTAAATTTGCAGTCACTATTGTGTGACCCGAATCCCGGTTCTCCTGCAAACTCCGAAGCGGCTCGGTTGTTCAGTGACAATAAACGAGAATACAATCGCAGAGTGAGGGAGATTGTTGAGCAAAGCCAAATGGCTGACTAAAAAAGTTAGTTCACATGTTGCTGTTATATCTATTGGGATGCTTCTATTTCAGTCCTATTAAGCCATTTGTTTGGCAACTATATATTGTGCAAGGCTGTCACATTTTCCAATTTGTCGTAGAAATATATAAAACGAACTATTACTCGTAGAGTTCAAGTGCGAATCTGTCGTAGATTCATATTGGATCCTTAATGAATCAACATATGGGTCCATTTGAATTGAGTGAAAGGAAAGGCAACGGATTCACGAGGTATCTATCCATTTTGGATCCGTAAAGATTCTATCCACGTAAATGTGGTTGTAATCTTAGGCCTTCGTTTGGTTGGGGAGATTAACCATTATTAACTATATAATTGGACTTTGTTTGATGTTTGGTATCCCCAATAACTTGTGGGGTCAGACCTGCAAATACATCAAGACGGTCTTTGACAAACACAAGAAATAAAATTACAAGCGGACCCTTTGAATCACGCTGATAGTCAATTAGTCATTTCTTGAGGTCTCTATCGTCCCACGAAGAGTGGACAAGAACATCAATCTTTGTCAAATTCTTCGCCCAATTCACAATCGAAGGACTGCAGTCAACCACTTGAATCTTTCCGAGCTCGAAACCAAGTCTCCGGGGTATCTCTTGCAGTTTGTAGCAGTGTTTAATGCTCAGGCAATCAAGAAACGGGAAGCTTCCCCTTCCGGCTGTCCAATGCACCAAGTCACTATCTTCAATCAGAATAAACTCGAGCCGCAAGAATCTCTTGGTCTCCACTTCCCACCTTGGACCTCGAAAGGCACAACATCGCAATTTGAGAACTTCAAGATTAGGCAATAAATCAATCTTGCTCATTTCTTCCCAAGGATACCCTAATCCACTCAGGCTTAACTTCTTAAGACCCGATGGAAAAATCGAAAGAGGGGGAGGGTTCTTGAGTATAGGATTTACAATAACACATTTAAGCGATTCTAGTTTCTCGAGATGTGAAATATGATCGAAGCAGCTCAAGGGTTCTTGATAAGTTGTTACATCGGGCGATATTTCGATTCGGATACCTAGTTTCTTTAGGTTAGGGATGCTTTCAAGTACGCTCCTGGTACAACTGCGAGTGTTCATGTCTGAAAGTGTTGAGAGGTTTGGTAAGAAACTTCCTTCACAAGGGTCAGGTATCTCGGTTCCCATTATCCTAAGATGCTTCAGTTTCTTCATATCCCATATCTCCAGAGGCAGGCACGGTGGTCTTCCGGCGGGCCTGATTACCAGGTGTCGGCCGACAATCAAACACTCAAGACTCGAGAGTTGGGATATGGAAGAAGGGAGATTCCCATTATAAGTGAGGGCAAGGTATCTAAGCTCGATTAATTTTATTACTTCGATCGGAAATAGGTAGAAACGGATTGTAAGAGCGTCAAGCATCCTCAACAACCTCGAATGGTCTAAACATACTGGTACTGGATACTGATGATAGGGACCGGTACATAGGACAGAAGACACATTCAAAATGGATGCCATAATGTTATTCAAATCTTCGATGCCAAACAAAATGTTGTTGTGGATGCATAATCGAGGCTGGCTTTTTATATCTTCTGTTAAACCATCAGCATATTTGGTCAAGACGTGGAAAAACTTGTTACTTCTAGCTTCTTTGACACAGAGAGGCCAAAAGGCAGAATGGAGGCTGCAAGTTTTAATTCCGTTGCCGGTGCTTTGTTGTCGCACCATAACAAGACTTCTCGAAATAAGGTCACTCAAACACTGCGCAGCTAATTGATAGTTTTCGAGAAATCCCTCAGCAATCCACATATTGATGAGGTTGGAGTATTTGATCTCACATCTTTGAGGGAAAACTCCCATGTAGAGAAAGACTTGTTTCAAATGTTCAGACAAACATTCGTAGCTCGGAAACAGTACGACGGACATTTTATCGTACGCATCGATAAAGACGGAATTTTCCTTGGCCGCCACCTTCTTCCAGCAATCCGGGCTCCTCTCGAGTTTCGATAGGAGGTCAGCTACTGTGACTATTGTAAGAGGAAGGCCCTCACAGATCTCGGCAATCTTTTTTCCGGGCTTCACGAGTTCGGGTGGGCAAGGCATTTCATCGAACACCTTGTTGCGAAGAAGAAGCCAACTCTCTTCATCATCGAGGAGGCGCATTTGATAAACTTTATAACTCGTAGGGAAAACAGCCACTTGTTCCAGAGTAGTTGTCACCAAAACCGCACTTGCGTTCTTGATCGTGGCCAAGGCGTTCAAACAATCAAACACGTATGTGTTCCATACGCCGTCCAACACAATCAAACATCTGTTGAAGAGAAGAAAATTGGAGAAATGCTCGTTTATTGATATCCCATCATCTCTTTCCTTAATTTCAGGATCAATTTGAGCTAGAATTTCTCGCAAAATATCTTCGGATCGATAGTTTGGGCCTAAATTGACCCACACACGACGGTGAAACCGATTCGAAATTACCGGATGTTGGTAGATTTCGTTGGCGAGTGTAGTCTTACCGATGCCGGCCATTCCTAGGAGCGAGACGAAGAGGGTTGATTCAGACAACTTCCGATCTGTAAGCATATCTACGATTCTGCTGATTTGACCGGACAACCCGACAACCGTTGACTTTTTTGATGCGGCGGCGGCGGCAGCGTGGTGGTGGTGTTTGGATTCCTCATCGGCGTAACCACGCTTCACCTTTTCGATAAGGTGAATGATCACTAGCCTCAATTCGTAGGAAGGGATTTCTTCAGCCGCCGCCGCCGCCGCGGCGTTGCGCCGCCCTGCCCGCAAGTATTTCAGTTCAAATTCTGCGTCCGTGATTTTTTTGACCAGAGTTTTCAACCAGCCGCTGCTGCTGCTTTCAAACTCGCGTTTCTCGAGTAAATCTCGCAAGGAAGTGAGCTCGTCGTATGCGAATTTTAGGGTTTCGAGAGATGTGTGTGGAGAATCTGAGAGGCGCTCTATTGTTTGCTTCAGTGAAATCCTAGCTGCGTAACCCATTTCTTCTCTCTCTCTCTCTCTATCTCCCGGGTTGTTAATTACGTTGTATATAAGTTTTTTTTTGTTTTTTTTTTTTTTTAGGACATTATTTTTTCTTTCAAATTCGGATAATTCCTGATCTGGGTAAAGTTGTCCTAGGCCCAAATTATATAGCAAGTAAGCTTAGATTCACCAAAGCCCAAAGTTCCAAGAAAACAGCCCCGGCCCAATTAAAATATGAGAGCCCACTCTCCATTCTCCATTGGGATATTTGGCCACACCCCCCAAGACAAGAAGGAGGACAATCTCTTTTGAGAGGTCTGATTTTCACCGAAGAACAAAAACTTACCAAGAACACAAAATACTCATCAGTATACACAAATGCATGGGAATACATGTGAATATGTTGAGGAGGTCCAAATGGATCTCATCAAATGGCGCCGTCTGTGGAACGTTTGGGTTATAGACGTGCGTTGGCCCGATTTTGAAGTTTTTTGGTGAAGACAGCTAGCAGCCATGGCACCATCGGCCGAACGCCAAAGCTGCAGTCTCGTTTCTTTCTTATTTCCCCACTCAACTTGAAATCACAGCAGCAGCAGAAGAAGAAGTGCAAAGCAGTGATATAGAATTCATCGGCACAACCAACACAGACCACTGGACGAGACGCATCCACAAGATATGCACTGAAAACCGCGACTCCGACGCCGCTCTCCGCCTCCTCCACCGCCTCCGCCTCCGCGGATTCCGGCCCGACTCCCTCAACATCAGCAGCATCGTCCACGCTCTCTGCCATGCCAACCGTTTCCCCGAAGCCCACCGCCGCTTCCTCACCTTCGTTTCCTCCCACTGCGTCCCCGACGAGCGCATGTGCAACGTTCTCATCGCGCGCTTGCTTGATGGACGCGACCCTTCTTCTACACTACAATTGATAAATGTTTTGATATCCGAGAAGCCTGAGTTTGTACCTTCTTTGATGAACTACAATCGTTTGTTTGATGGCATCTGTAAGTTGGGGAGATTGGAAGCTGCCCATTTGATGTTGTATCACATGATAAGGAAGGGGCATCGTCCCAGTGTTGTTTCGTATACTACTTTGATCGGCGGGTATTGTTCGATTGGAGATGTTGACGCTGAAAAGGTGTTTGACGAAATGCCCGAGTGGGGAGTGCGTTCGAATGCGCTTACTTACAGTGCTCTAGTTCGTGGGGTTTTAAGAAAACGGGACCTCGAAAAGGGGAAAAGACTCATGGGAAAACTTTGGGAGGTTATTGGAAGTGGGGCGGATGCGCAAGTTAATAACGCGGCTTTTTGCAGCGTGATCGATAGTCTGTGTAGAGAAGGGTTATTTCACGAAGTGTTCAAGATCGCCGAAGACATGCCACAAGAGATTAAACACATTTCTATGGTGGCCAACGAACCCCGATCATAGGGGTTGGTGATTTTTTTTGTCGGAAGAATAAATGGAGAGGGAGAACTGTGGAGTTCATGCGTTATGCGATGGAGATTTATTACGTGAGCCAATTGATTAGATCAAATGCAAAAGAGTTGAATGCACTTCTTAGAGCTCTCGAGGATCGAGTCAGTTGGGGACGGGAAACGTGTTCATGAAGCTCACGGTTGTAGCTTAGAGCTCGTTCCATGTATTGAAGCTATAATATTGAGGATTGTAATTCCCTAGTCGAAAATGAAGCTCGCACCCACCTCTCGAAAATGAATTCATGCGAACTCAAGTCTCTCCCAATCACATTGTGAGGTAAATTCTCAGTTAATAATGCACATGCATCTCAATGTCAATAATTGTCTATATGATGAAAAATCGAGGAATCTTGTTTACTTGACAAGTACTGAGGCTGTGAACAATTATGAAAGCAGATGAATTGAGATATTACATAATATGCCTATTACTTGAGTGCTCGATGAGAGTTAGACAGGGCCGGTTCTGAGGGGAGGCGAAGTAGGCGGTCGCCTAGGGCCCCCGGATTTTTTCAAAAATTTAGGGCCCCGAATTTTTTTATACCCTTTATATATGAACATTTATTGAAAAAAAATATATTATATATATAATTATTGAGAATTTTAATTCATAAATAGCTATTATCAACGATTTTTACTTGTTTTTAGAATTCCTCTAATCATGAGAGACCACTAATTATTAAATTTGTAATGTATTAGTTATTTACTTTTATATATATTTACTTGTTTTAGTGCTACTTCATGCAAATTATCCTTAAAAAAATCGGGGGCGCTGCCCCCGAACCCCCGTAAACTTTAATCCTACTATATCACAAATTTTTAACCGTGCCACTGGCTATGTACCTTACAAAATCGAGTTAAAATAGAGTTTATCACCTTTTATAAAAAAAAAGTTTTATTGCAGATTGTAGAAGGGGCCCCATTTTTATCCGTCTTCAAATCTCGCCTAGGGCCCCCAAAATCTCAGGAACGGCCCTGGAGTTAGAATACGGATATTTTTGTTGTAGGATTCGACAAGCATGATATAACTCGCGCAATTTAAATTACAAGCATGAAAATTGATTTATGAGACTCCTATTTTCTTTTAATATTGTACCTATCGAGCTAAGTTCATATGATTTATGAGACCGTTGGTAAAATTGGTTGCTCGGCACATCATTTTCTCTGATGTTCTGAGACTACACCCTTTAAAGTCCGAGATAATCTTCTAAATCGTTGTATAAACGTGGGGTAGGCAATTTTTGAATTTTTCGAAAATTGGGTTTTGAGAATATGTGGATATATGTTTACCGAAACAGGCCATTGTGCTTGCTAATGCTTTCTAAAATGAATCTCTTATTGATTTTTCACGTAATTATGATTATTCATGACCCTTGACTATTGAGTTGGGTTAGTGAAGGATTCTATGTGAATATAACTACCAATGAAGGTTTTTTCACCTGAAGTGTTTTCTGTTTGCAATTTGATTTTTGTTTTTTGTTCGTTTTTCGTTGGGTATAGAGTAGAGTAACTCGCAAAGTACTCTACAAAGCTAGTGACTAGGAGAGATACACGAGGTTGTATAGAGTAGAGTAACTCGCAAAATACTCTACAAAGCTAGTGACTAGGAGAGATACACGAGGTTTGATCTTCACCGAAGAACAAAAACTTACCAAGAACACAAAATACTCACCAGTATACACAAATACACGGGAATACATGCGAATATGTTGAGGAGGTCCAAATGGATCTCATCAATTCCTATTTTCAGTTTTTTCTAATTCTTTTAGGATCGAAAGAAGAATATATATATATATATGGGCAAATGGCAAAAAGGCCCATCACATGGGACTTAAATGCATTTTAGTCCACAAAAAAAACAGTCTCTCAATTAAGCCCATCCCCATGTCTTTAGTCTAAAATACCCTCAATAATATAATTCTTAACAATTCCACCCATTATGCTCTAACTTCCTTAATATTACACATTGACCCCGGATTTAAACAAATATATCACATTAACCCCCAAAACTTTTTTTTTTCAGAAAATAATTTTTTTTCTGAACTGTTTTTTTTCCGGCCAGATTCCGGCGACCGCCGGTCTCCGGCGTTGACTTTTTTTTTTTTTTTTTTTTTTGAAATTTTTCTTTGAAATTTTTTTTTCCTGCTTTTTTTTTCCGGCCGGTCAACCACCGTTGACCGCCGGTCTCCGGCGTTGACTTTTTTTTTTTTTTTTTTTTGAATTGTTTTTTCTTAGAAAAAAAAAATATTTTAATTAATATTACTGTCTTGACTACTAAATTACTGTCTCAGACAGTAATATTACTGTTTGAGACAGTAATATTATGAATATTATTTTTCCGAACAGTAATATTATTAATATTATTATCTAAGACAGTTAAATTACTGTTGGAGACAGTAATTTAACATCCAAGACAGTAATATTAATTTAAATAAATTTTTTTTAAGGAAAAAAATTAAAAAAAAAAAAAAGTCAATTAACAGTTAAGTTACTGTCTCCGACAGTTAAATAACTGCTGGAGACAGTAATTTAGCAATGAATACAGTAATATTAATTAAAAATAATTTTTTAAGAATAAAAAAGTCAATTAACAGTTAAATTACTGTCTCCGACAGTTAAATAACTGCTGGAGACAGTAATTTAGCAACGAATACAGTAATATTAATTAAAAATATTTTTTTTAAGAATAAAAAAGTCAATTAACAGTTAAATTACTGTCTCCGACAGTTAAATAACTGCCGGAGACAGTAATTTAGCAACGAATACAGTAATATTAATTAAAAATATTTTTTTAAGAATAAAAAAGTCAATTAACAGTTAAATTACTGTCTCCGACAGTTAAATAACTGCTGGAGACAGTAATTTAGCAACGAATACAGTAATATTAATTAAAATATTTTTGAAGAAAAAAAAAAAAAAAAAAACAGTCGATTAAAAGTTAAATTACTGTCTCCGATAGTTAAATAGCTGCCGGAGACAGTTTTTTAACCACCAAGGCAGTAAAAATAAAAAAAATTTTTTTTTTGAGGAAAAAACAAAAAAAAAAAAAAAGTCAACGCCGGAAACCCGGGGGTCAACGGCGGTTGCCCGACCGGAAAAAAATTTCAGGAAAACAAAGTTCAAAAAAAAAAAAAAAAAAAAAAAAAAAAAAAAGTCAACGCCGGAGACCGGCGGTCTCCGGCGGTCAACGCCGGAATCTGGCCGGAAAAAAAATATTTCAGAAAAAAAATTATTTTCTGAAAAAAAAAAGTTTTGGGGGTTAATGTGATATATTTGTTAAAATCCGGGGTCAATGTGTAATATTAAAGAAGTTAGAGCATAATGGGTGGAATTGATACGAATTAGGGTTAAAATTGGGGTCAAAATTAAAATTTGGGTTAAAATTGGTTAATTGATGAAATTGGGCTAAATTGGGGTGTAAATCATGAAATTGAAGTTAAATTGGGTTTCAAATGAATTGGGGGTAATTTTGGTATATATAAAGGGATTTTCCTTATTTGCAAATAAGTTTGAATGGGGTGGATTTATTTGAAAGACAAAAAAGTTGGATGTCCCTATTTTAATTAAGTGCCCTTGTCATTGGCCTATTTGCCATTACTATATATATGAGAAATATATCTCCAATCTACTTTTATATTTTAAAAATAATTCCGGGAAATTGCACTAAGAATATCAATTGTATTATGTATTTTTATAAGGTCCATTTGATATATACCCCTTATATGGAAAATATATAGCGATAGGTCCACCCTTAAAAATCTTTCTTTGAGATACTCTTGGAGAGTCAAAAGTACTATTGTGCCCTTATGTGCAATTTTCGTCCAACTACATTCAATAACTCACCAACTTCATTTAGCATTTTCGGACCTGCGTTTATCATTTTTACAGATTTATTTAATAAAAAAATATAAATATTTATTTTAATTATTATTTTTTAGGGAAAATGATGGATAGCCCCCTCATTTGGTAAATTAATATAGCATGGGCCCAATTTATAATTGACCATTTGTAAACAAACTCATTTAATATTTTCTGAATTGTATGACCCTCTAAGCTTAAGTTAATGCCCATTATGCCCTTTTTTGTCCATATTTTTTCTCCTTTTTTTTCTCTCTTCTCCTTATTTATCTATTATCCGTCATTTTATATTCTCCATTCATTTATCTCTCTTCCATTTTTATTCAAGGTTCTAAAAGGCGGTTATCGGGTACGTGGCGGTTAGGTACCGCCACATGATAAATCGGCGCGGCGGTGATTTATCGGAGATAAATCGGAAATATATAGGTTTTTAAATTTAGTGTAATATATTTCTAAATATTATTCGTAAATACTCAAAATATATATAAAAGAATATTTAAACATAATTCTATCCTATCATTCATATGTTATTATATAATTCTAATTACTTAATAAATAAATAAAATTTAAAAATAATAAGATCATAATATAATAAAAGATTCTTACGAAATACAAATACTACGCAAGTCTTTCGCATCAACAATTAATATAAACACAACAAAGCATAAATTGCGGGGTAGTACTTGGTTTGGTTTTGGAAGTTGAAAGAATTGGAGAAAAACAAAAAAATAAAACATATTTTCATTTTAATATAAATTAAAAAAAAAAAAAAAAAAAACAATTTGTTGACCGATATATCGGTTTGACCCGCCAAAAAACCGCCGCAAACCGCCTCACCGTAAAAAACCGATATTCCAATCCGCCTCAACAAAATTTTAAAGGTTTATAACCGATACCGATATGGCGGCCGATATATCGACCGCCACAGCCGCTATTTAGAACACTGTTTTTATCTCACTTTTGACGTGTTGTTCTTTTATTCATCTTCTTCTCTCTCCTATCTTCTTCTCTCGCCTCTCTCCTCCCCAACTTCCTCTCTTCTCGTATTTCTTCTTCTTTCTCATCTCTCATCTATCCTCTCTCTTCTCTCTCTTCCCCACTTCCTCTTTTCTCGTATCTTTTCTCTCTCTCTCTCTCTCTCTCTCTCTCTCTCTCTCTCTCTCTCTCTCTCTCTCTCTCTCTCTCTCTCTCTCTCTCTCTCTCTCTCTCTCTCTCTTTCTCTTCCCTCATTTTCTCTCTTCTCGTCTATTTTTGTTTCATTTTTTTCTCTTTATTTTTCTCTATTTCTTCTCACTACTCTACCTTTTCTTCTACATCTCATTTTTTGTCATTGAAATCAATCTATTTTCTACTCTATGAAATTCATGGTTTCACCGAAGATGAGATTTATATCATGAGTATTCAATATTATAACAGCATAGTATCTTAAATTGAAAAATAATATAGTGAATTCACGGAAAAATTATAGTTGACTACCATTTTTTATAGTTGACATCGGAACAATTATAGTTGACTATCTAATTTTTGTAGTTAACTCTGGCAACAATATAGTTAACTACCAT